ACCCGCACGCCCTGGGCCCGATGCACCAGGTTTTCAGCTTTCGCATTGGTCGGATCTGTACGGCAAAAACAACAATTTAAGCGACATACACTTGTGAAATTTTGCTGCAAATATGTTTCAAGCGTCTAGCACACTCGACTGCTCTTTTTCTCACGGGCAGATGCTTGCACGTTCTTTTCACGTTTCTGCCGGTTGGATCTGTACTCAAAAGATAATTCCATATTGTTTTCACATTTCTGCTACATGTTTACTTTTAACAAATAGTATAAAATTTCACAGTAGCTTCTTACAGCAGACTACTGCAATAGTACAGTAAGTACTCGTTCAATCACAGATATTATGCACTTTTGTCGCAATTTTGGACTGATTTCTTGCGCACTTCTTCGGGACGCATCTGAACTAGCAAACTGGTTACCAGGGAATTTTATACTAAATTACTTTTACAGTGATATATGCAAACAATGATGTATTAAAGCCGCACAATACTTCAACAAATCGTCTTCATGCATAGTGTACCAGCTTATTTATACGTTATCATTTACATATTTCGCTAAATTTTGAGGTTATTTTATAGAAAGTTACACTGTTTGATACCATTGAAATAATAGCATTGACGAACCTTGATGATATTTTTAATGTCCAAAGACAAATCTATTATAGAACGTAAAAAAATTAATTGATTTTTCCTCTCTTTTGTAAATCTCTCTTGTAAATCGGAAAATGAATCCTACATCATCATAGCTACTATTCATAGCACAAATAATTATAGCACGTATATGGTTAATTGAATTCTTATCATTAATATACAACTTTTAGAATATAATAGTTACTACTTATATATAAATATGCTGTAAATAAAGAGCACTCCGCACTCCTCGATTGACACACGTGTATACGCACTCACGCATCGTATGTAGGATAATCATGTACATCATGGCTGTCGCGATGAGCGTTGCGCACAATATAAAACGATAACATTATAACAACAGAAAATTAATATACTACCAACGTTATTTCTGAGTCCAAATTACAAGGAATTTTGAACTGTTATGCATTGATCTCAAATAAATGTCAGAGTAACATTTGAAAAATATTTTCTGTAACGTTTTCAAAATATTTTAACAACATTCAAAAAAATCATATTACGAAATAATATTTTTCAAATATGTGTATAATATTATTAAAAAACGTTTAAAAAATACACATAAAGTCAATATTTCTAAACGTTAATTTAATGTTCCTTGCTTACTGGGTAATATATTATATTATTTGAATTACAATGTTCTGGCTATTTCAGCATATTTAACAAGGTAAGAGATAAATCAAATGAATAATAATATTTCTAATACACGTTATAACATTAAAAAAACCGTTATATTTGTTATGCGGCTTCCGTAACCAAGGATAACCTCAAACTTGTAGGCAGAATAGTTAAATGATAAAAATTATCTGATATAACAAATATTACATATATTACATAAATTAAATATGGAAATACTTTTAACTAAATATATACATATACATATACACAATACATAATTTTTTTCTTGTGTCTATGTATTCTCAAAGTTTATCCTCCTTTTCTATTCCATCCATCCATCCATCCATCCATCCATCCATCCATAATAAAAAAATCCATTTGGACCGAGAAGTGAGCTTTGCGAGTCGAATATCTCGCACGTAGTGTTGCCGCTTTTCCGCGTGCGTGATTGGCTGGCGCGGTCGAGATTGACGGCGATCGCGAGATCGCGGCGAGTTTGGCGAGTTTCGCGTGTGTTAAATCTTGCGATGTGACGTGTGTTCGCGTGGTGTCTCGCGAGGTTAGTAGGATTTTTTATTATATATAATCAGTAATTATATATAATATATGTGGATAATATTGGTAAATAAATATCTTTTAACGCAATGACGTGTGCTCGCGTGGTGTCTCGCGAGGTTAGTTATATTTATTGCTTGCTCGTACAAATCTAATCTAAGGTATACGTTACAGTAACTATAGATTTTTGATACAGATTTATCTTTGAAATCATATTTTATATATAAGCAGATGTAAGTGATAATTACTGTTTTTGCATTATGTAAAATTTGCCTTATTTTAGATATACCGATGAATTTAATGTTCGAGAAGATCTGATGGGATTAGCTATTGGTGCTCATGATGCAAATATTCAACAAGCGTGAAAAGTTGATAACATTACAAATATAGTTAGAAGAAAATTCATGCACATTTTAGATATATAGAGAAGTAATTATAAAAATTATTATCGCTTGTATTATTTCAAAAAATATTGTTTTATAAAAGTTTACTGACCGGTTTTTTGTCTAAAATGTATATACATATTCGTATATATGTTGCATTATATTGAGCTGGTATACAGAGCTTATCAGATTTCTTTCTCAATCACAGGCGCATGAAGCTGTTAAGAAAGACCGATCTATGCAGGAATACAGCAGTAACCTAAAAATAGATAGTGACAGTGTGACAGTCGTGACCATCGCCGCGTGATAGATGATAGTGATAGTGAAATATATATATTGACGGCAGGGAGCTGATGCCGAGGAGATCTTTAAGAAGGAAGGTATATCCAAAATCGCACACGTACGTATATATGCTGTCTTGTAAAAGTTGTAAAAGTTAAGAGAACGAGAAAGTGATCTGTATACACGTGTGACAGGCACTATCGGGCACTATCGCGTAATAAAGATTTCTCCGAAGAATGTTTATATTGTACTTTACTTTCGTTAGCTTGGATGCTTCAAATGTACAATCTCGCGTCTTCAAAATATAATAATTCTCAGACACTGTTGAAAAATAATTGTCTAGCCAAGAGGTCCTCTTATAAATGACCTCCTTTTCTCTCGTTTTCTCACGCAGGAACATTTTATATTCAACTATATGGTATACAATTTTGCCGCTATATATTGACCGCAGGGAGCTTATACCGAAGAGATCTTTAAGAAGGAAGGTGTATCCAAAATTGCACATGTATGTACGTATATGATGTCTTGTAAATTGAAAAAGTTGAAAAGAACGAGAAACGTTCTGTAGCACAATTTATATTGTAGGCAAGTTATGCTAAAATATTTGTAAATTGAGTTCCTATTATCCATTATTATGATATAATTTTTATTAACAATATTAGAGGAGTAACGAAAATTAATTTGATTAAGTATTCAAAGCATGTTTAAAGTTGGAAGAGTAGAGAGAGAGAGAGAGATTGTTATTCT